GGGGGGGGGGGGGTGAAGGCAACACCGGATGACAAAAACTAAACTTGGAAGCAGATTTTACTTTTCAGAATTTTGATTACTACTATCTAGATCTCAAGCTCTCTGCAATGCGCGCGTTGGTGCAGGCCTTGTATGGAATCGGGATCTGTCATACTCAAACCTAGCAAGCCGTGTGTTTGTAACTAACTAAAGGGTTCCCGTTTCATTGGGTAGGTGATAGTAAATTATATGTACAGTAGTCTCCGCCTAAGATCCCACCGCTTACAATCCCGGTTCGCTTAGGATCCCGCTGTTTTAAGAAAACAGAATTTTTACTATACAAAAGTCACCCCTAAGATCCCGCTCTGATTCACTCTTAAAAAGGTCTACATTCAGCTAAGATCCCGCATTTCAGATTACATGTATAATTTGCGGAACAAAAACTCGGGCGGGCACAGCCGATCAACCAAGGGGGAAAAATTGAGATCAATAAACTGTCCGTCGCGTCAAGTGATACACGTTGTAAAACTCGATGAAGCGATACAATGTTTGCCCCAGACGGGATCACACCGAGGTGTGAACTGACCGACGCGTTTGTTTTACCCCCGTATCGCACTCACACCTGAGCTCTCACCCTAAACTTACATCACTTGCTGGGTGGGTAGGGCCTATACGTTCGCTCCAGGCGGGATCACATCGAATCGTGAACTCTTCCCCGACCATTGCAGCAGTTGTCTCTACTCCCGAATTTGCGAGACAGACTGAATTTTAATTGGTGTGTTCACAACGTAATGGTGTGTAACGACAAAGGCGGTTTGGGGGGGGGGGGGGGGGGACTCGGTCAGAGAATTAAAATTGTGGTGTACATATTACGATTTTGCGAAAAAGGGGTGTCGGGATGAGTCCATTTTATTTATAGCATCGTATCACAACATGGGATCTTTAAGAATATATATCGGCAGCGTGACTAAATACTTGCAAAGCTTTTTATGATGACTTTAGACCATGCCAACCGTAAAAGATAAGTTAATTCAATCTAGCATGCCGTACAATTAAAAATTTTTTTTCCCCGTTGAGACGCGAACACCCCGAGACGAGATAACCTCGCCTCGGAATACCCCCATTGCAATGTTACAGGGGAATAGAGAGTAAAACAACCGGATGCGCGCGCCCGCCATTGCCCTATTTCAAGTGACCAATGAACGGGCCCGGAATAGTCATGCGGGGATTTGTAGGTCACATACATTTGCCACGAGAGTGAGGGGAAAATGGCCGGTCTCCGTGCGAAGCCGCTTTGGTTAGGGGGGTAGTCGTGCATTTATGATAATTTCTAAACAACTACTTGACACAGAACGTTCAAATTGGAGCACACTATAGAGTATAGATAGATCTATTACCATCTCGGCGTTGAAATTCAAACTCCATATAGTTTTCGGTGTACACGATACGAAAGTGTTCCCGACACCAAAAGTATAGGTTAATTTATGTGTACGAACTTCAACGTCCACATATCATTAGTTTGCCCTATTTTCTGATTGGTTGCTGAGTTTTATTCGGATTGGTTTGGAAATAGAGCTGACCGAGGTTGACAAAGTCAGTCACCTACGCTTTGGCCGGGTCCGCAAAATCGCCCGTAAACGGGGACCAAATTTTCGCCTCGCGGGAAAGCTCGATTGGCATTGCTATATGGTGCCTAGACTCTAGTGGCCCGCTATTCTTCCTTTCCTAGCTCCCCTACTCCTACTCAGTTTTCTACGTCCTCATCCTTTGACTACCAACAACCGACTGACGTCTCTTACCGGGTTTTTCAGTCATCACGACCGTGCCACCGTGCCCTTTGAACCATGACCCTGACACTTTGTAGCTAATTGGTCAATCTAATCACGTGGTCGGCCTGTTCCACTCTAATTAGATCTACCCTGATTGTCCACTTTTAACTCCATGGTCCGCTCATGTTATTGTTTATATGTGTGTGTGTGTGTTTTTAAATTATTGTTGCCAGGGGGCAAGCGCCCCCCCCCCCCCCTGAAACCCCCCACTGTTATTACAATGACAATGACAATCTTTATTCATCTCCTGGGAGAAATTTGTCTTGGTCGTTAACAATGGCAGTAGACGTTAGAAAAGCTAGACCTAAAGGTGCACTCACGCAAGTTTATGCTCAACAAGACAGGAGATTAGGCCAAGTAAATACATGTCTTACGTGCTGGGAGAACCCGCTCCGTAAAAGATTCTCTCTCTCTCTCTCTCTCTCTCTCTCTCTCTCTCTCTCTCTTTCTCTCTCTCTCTCTCTCTCTCTCTCTCTCTCTCTCTCTCTCTCTCTCTCTCTACACTTTTACTCTTTCTTCTGGATACCACCGTATTTCCATTCTTTTTTTTTATCATTGTTATTAGTTCCTGAAGAATGATTTGTAATCCTGTGCACTGATGTAATTAATTTTTAACTCAATGTACAAATAGTTATCGGTTTTTTCTAAATACTTATATACGGTACAGAGATCTATACAAATAAGAAAAACAGAGAGGTTCCCCATCGACGAATAAAGTAAACTTAGGCCGCAAACGC